TATTAAAATAAAATGCACTTCGCTTACTTACTTCAGTCGTTTGTTCTGTGGTCTAGCACACAAGGTAAGTTCATTAAAGTACCCGTTATTTAAGCCATACAAAATTTTCAACAAAGATTGCTCCGCTGAATCATACAAAGTAATATGCATGAATTCGTTCCCTGATTCTATACAGCAGGGTATTGCACGAAATTTAGAAAGACCAGAATAGTAACATGGTGTAGAACTGTGCCGCCCAGAATCATCACTTTACCAATACAAACATAATAATCGTCCTCATTACTAAGTACACCAACAGTCGTCCTCGGTTTACTGGTTTACGCCCAAATTAAGTGGCCATCTGCTTAAGGAGTTAGTTATTCAACGCCATCCTATGGGAACCCACAAGAACCTTATTCTCAATGCGAACTATTTGTACTTTAATGCATGTGGGTTAGTTCATAGTTCCATAGGAATAGCCCTCAGTCCAAATCCATAGCGAAGAGGGAGTTTAAAAAATATTATTCATATTCATGGCCTCCTCGTCTGGCGAGTGTTACTACTGTGAATGCTGAGTGAACACGGAACTCATGAATCGCTGTTGGCTGTTCTAAGAAAATTCACAAAGCCCAAATAATGATGATAGAACTAGAGTTAACAATTTCATACTAGTCCTGGACACTCCAGTTGGCTCAAATGAGCAATGGAATGTGTTTCCCATTCTGAGAAACTATTTTGTAATTGGTGTTTCGGTGTTGCTCCTCACAACACTGACACTTTAAATTTTGTGCTAGGTTGCATGAAATTCTTATCATCTGTTGCAGTTTTTCTGCAACTCGGTGTATACTACCCAAGTGTTTTTCTTGGTCGCACAACTAATGTGTAAGCGATTGGACATGGTTTGCAATGCACATGATTAATTAATCTGTACTGCAAAGTATACATTCTGATATTTATTCATTTCTATTTCTGTCTTCGGTCTACCATGACGGTTAGCTGTTGTCTGCTTATTCTTACAAGCAACAAACTGTATTTGTACAGTGTAGTTCCCTTTTTACCTAACGCGTTTGGATATACGCAATCTCCATTGAAGAATGTACGACGTCTGTGCGCCGGCGGTGTCAGGTAACCCCATTGCGTATAAGGACGGTCACTCAAAGTTTCCTGTTGAGTCAGTTACGGTGTCTGACTACCTTGGACTTGAAGTGCGTTACTAGTCGGCTGTGCTCATCTGATACTTGAAAATGTAATAGGTGGTGGAGCAATGATGCAATCCGTCGGTGGTGGTACACAAATTGCTGTTAGGTGGTGTTATATTTGACCGAAATTAGTTACATCAGCTGTTTCATTATTTACTGATTAGTAGAACACGTCTGTGATGCATCTAGATGAGTGGAGGAAAAGATTGGCTAACGGGAATTCTAAGCGATTTCTTAAGCAGATACTGCACATTGTCAAATTGCTTGAATTCTAAGTTTTAGCCGCACCCATATAAAGGACAGATCATTCTGGAGTACTTCACATACTCACCGTGATCTGCTTTCGAATCAGAATCGTTAATCCAAATCTTTCAGCTTCTTCCGGTATCACGAAGGTGGAGGTCACAACTTTGATCCCCGTCACAGCCTATCGAGATGATCCAGTGCCGACGCTTTGTGACTGGGTAAGCCACTTTTCCATATCCCAACATTTGCGATAAACAAGAGCGATAACAGTAATATTTTCAATCATGAAACCAGTCCACTGCTTATTGGATTACTGCTGCCAACAAAGACTTTCCATATAATCTTTTTAGTCAGTGAAAGCCCCATACTAAGAAATAGCTATAAGATTCAAATACATATATATGTTCAAACAGTAGGGGACTTTGAGCAGCGAATCACGAATTCACAATAGTAAGGTTATGCACTTGACTTTGACGAAAGCAGTTTTGTTTGATATGTTTTCCTCTCTAGAACACGTTTACTCACAAAATTAAAAAGGTGCAATGAGATATTCCCATCTTGGTCGCTGGGTAGCAGGACTTAAGACATCCATTATGCGGTTACTGTAAATGAAATTAATTCACGTCCGATCGCATGCCACATAAAGTTTGTATGCAATACTGGAGCCCACGTTCTGAAGGCACTCGGTAAAGTAGGGAAGCGAGTGAATTGGTTAAGATCGGCAACTTAGCACTGAAAAGTAAGCTCAGTTATCATGCAAAATGCATCGGTTGAGTGAAATACAAAAAATGCTTCTATAGTGGGAAGCCAATTATACCCTAGTGGTGTGAAGAGCGATATGGACACACCAGTAACCGGCCTAAAATGCTGGTGACCACCTCTAAAATCTTAGCTACTTGTTAATCATCTAAGTAGTTTGTTTGATGATAGCTGGTCATTTGGGCGAATCTGATAGAAAGGGCATGGGGAGACAGAAGGCCAGACAATCGCCACTGTTTCGATCTGGTTACGATTAAGAGTCGCGTTGACAAATCAGATTTTGCTCAGCCTAGAGTGCATGAAGCACAGCTTGCTCAAGGACAGATGCAAAGTGGCTTGGTCAGCGTGAACGGAGCGTGTACGATAGCGATACCAATCGAATCAGGTTCTGCCCACGTTATTTGGCCAGATCATGTGGAACAGACATGGAACAGACAAAATCTGGTTGGTTTTGTACAGCATAAGCGCCAACCATACGAATGAAAGAAGTTTGGTCCCCCCTGAATGTTTTGATTCTTGCTGGGCTACCCGACAGGCAGTACACTTACAAAAATTTTGGCTAGCACAGCAAAATGGTAAGAGGGTCTTGTTACGACACCAACTTTTATTCGCGATGCTTCCAAGCGATGTTAAAAGTGCTTGTCTCAGAAAGTGTACATAACAAAATTCAAGCTTAGGTATGCAGCATACGCTTGTTACAGATAAAATTTGGAAAATTGGTGGACATTTTCGTGGGAGTGTGTAACCTACACGTTCTTCAAATCCAATCGCACTGCGCCTGGAGTAAAGTTAATGTCCAGATTTCCCCCAGTCAATCTATGTTAAATTTACGATCACCTTCAGGCATTTTACCTCCCTCCCACCTTACATTTTTGGCCGTTCGTAGTTGCCTTGCTTTTTGCCCGAACTTCAATTGAACACGCCTATCACAGTTTCGCAAGCCCCACTTCGTTGCATTCATTCCCTATTGAGCTATTCCGCTTATTGTGTGTCCGTAGATGTATAATTTCTTTATCAACGTGGCTCCTCTTTTTGCTGTCGTCTGACTTGCCAGCACTTTTCACCTGCGTCTGTCCTGGTTCTGGGACAGACCAGGTCTGGAGTTTGCGGCTCTAAGGGTTTCCTCGATAGACTGACGCTAACCTTTTGTGATTGGGTTCTGGACTGCCTGTATCCTGATTCCTCCGTGACGAGACCACTATGCGGCGCTGTGTGTTTCGTTTCGTTTCGCATTGTGCTTGAACCATTCCATTGTTGTCTATTGCCGTGATGGGAATTTATGAGTACCTATTTTGTGCTAATAGCGTTGATATGTTGTAATGATGATATTCTATTGTTGTAACAAAGAACACCGTAGTTCAACACCGACTGTGGATTTTGTTTCGCCGGTGTTTGCGTACCAGTTGCGGGCTGTGACTTGCATTGAATCGAAATTGGAGACCGCGGATCAGGGTTCTAAGCGTTCGTTCAACTATCCTAAGCGTTATTGCCACATACGGTTTTGCGATTTTTGATTCCAAGATAGCTACTTAGCCTGTACAATGAAAACCAGAAGAATGGCATCCGTGAATTTCGAGGAATCAAAGATTGGACCACGACAAGTCGACGATGTACTCGTTTTTCATGATCAGGTTGCTGATTCTGGAGCGCATTGTAGTTGTGAGAGTAGTCAGGCTAAAGGTTCACTTAATGCGCGTGCTGCCTTAAGGCTTGCTGAGCTTAAGAAAAGCAAGCAGACTCTTAGAAAGAACTAAGTTGCGGTTGGAAATATAAACGGATTCAATTAGCCGAGAACATCTGGTTACTGTAAGTCGTGTTCTCAAGGGCAGGGAAGAGCAAATGAACCACTTACTAAAGGATTGTCAAGAGATTGCATCTCCCACAATAGCTTTTGTGTCGTGTCCTCATTCTTCACTGGAAGTTTGTTGTTCGTTCGCAGATATACCGGAGGTCGAGTTGGAATTATTGCCGGTGATCCGGCGAGTTATTGGAGGTTTATAACACAGTTTGATAATTTTCTTGAGAACCGTGCACTTGATAGCGGTCAGCGTTTATGGTATATGGTATATTATTGCAGAGGACGTGTCAAAGAAGCAATTCGTGAGTGTACAATACCTCCACCTGAGCACGTTTACAATACAGCTCGTTGCTTTCTTCGAGACCTCTTTTGGCAAAATCATCTAGTGGCGCGGTCATTGATCAGTGCTTTGCTTACTGGGTCGAAACCACCGACAGATGGCTGCATAAGCTTTGTCCCGATTGTCGTTGAAAAATGTAAGCTGTTATGTGGCTCTGTCTCAGCAAAAGGATATGGCCGAGCTAAACGCTACATTGCGCGAGTATATATGGGAATCCTGAGCCCTGGTTTCTCATACTCCCTGTTATCGAAGGCCACCTGTATTTTCTCTGATTTGAAAATTGCTGGCGGTTTGACAAGCTTTTGCTTCTGTGATTATGTCCACTATCTTTCTGCGACATGCTGAATCCGACTTGTTTTGTTTTACTGAGGCTGTCTTGGTCATCCGGATCGTACCCGCATTATGCGTTCACAAACAGCTGTGTGTTAGCGTTGGTCTACGTATGTGTATGTCTTTTTGGTCACAGTTCCCATGCTTTTGTTTTATTGTTCACCATACCATACGAGGTGACAGTCTTGGCCACATTTAGTCTCCTTGCTTCCCTAGTCGCCTTTTCAAACTAATTTTTTCAGCTGTATGCATATGCTATCTCCATGTACAAATTAAGCGTATTGGAATAATAAATTGTATATTACAATTAATCAATATTTGCACATAAACTAATATATACCTGAAATGTGTTTGAGCTAACATAGCGATCTGGTGCTCCTTCAAATGATACAATAAGTGGTAAGATTTATTTTAGTTAAATTTGCCGCATAAAGTGAAGCGTACACACTTGATGCACATATACCAAACATGAGCGTTTGTAGCTTCAGTAGATTGAAGTGGCTCACTAAACTTGCTGTGCCTCCTCCCATCCGTCTGTGTGTAGGAATTTAGCAAACTAATGCTTGGAATTTTCCGTCACGATCGGGTGGACTCAATTCCATTTCATGGACACCCAAGAAAAGGTAAACTGTTGATTTGCACCCATTCCGACTTGGCTTCCATTCTCTGGTTGTCAAATACGAGGTAATAAACGCCATGGAAGAATATGGTTTTGCCTGAAACGCAATTGGTGAAGGGATAAATGGTTGGTAAAATATAGAGTCGATGTCATTGACTTGGTTGTTCAATGGTCACCAAATTGATGCACTCATCTGACCCAATAGCTTACTAACATTCACAACACGAGACCAGTTTCCTCATGTACAGTGACAGTTTACTCACAAAGGCTAATCTCATTACATAAACAAGTTTTCGGAAGTAGCATTTCTGGGAGAATTGACAGGGTGCAGTATGTCAGGTTGTGTGTTTACAATGTGATCTTTGCGGAAACAAGCGGTTAGTCTCTTAAGATGTGCTTGGATTGGAACCAGAAGAAATAAGTTGATGCATCGCTCGTTACTTTTATGATTGTATTAAGTTCCATGTAGCTTGTTAGGTCAAATGCTAAATTTTTTGAACATTTGACGATAAGCACGTATTTTTGGCTGGTACAGCTGGGAGCCAATTTTCTATAGTTTAACAGCAACTTTATCCCAAGTCTACCCACAATGCGGCATACGTTGTCTAACCAAATGTAAAGACATTTCGGAATCCCTGATAATTTTCACGCTCCACTGCATGAATTATGCTAGGGTACGCCATCAGGATGCTAGCTAGTACAATGGATAAACTTTATTAGCTTATTCATCTTTATCCTGAGCACATAATTTGTGGATTCACAGAAATGTGATAATCGTAACTTGCTAGATGTAACACACATGTGTGCGAATATTTGTGAATCCAAATCAATACTTTGGTCGATCGCATCAAAGTAAGCTGAATATTCCTCGGCTTGAACAATCACTTATTGCTACAGGCTTGAACCCCATATACAAGCATCGACAAATCACTGATGAACCAACATTGCGTAAATTTCATGATGGTCGAGTGTGTGAAGAGTGCACTACATTTCTATTCTGTCGACATCTTCGATGTGACACTCTCACACAATACTCGACCGCCGATTTAATTCATGTTATAGTGTGTTGAAGAAAAAGGATAGTATCGACCTCCGCATTGACTATAGGGGAATCTATTTTGAGCAGATGATAGATTACATACGTGCTTTGAGCAATCAATAGGGAAGGAAGAATGTGAAGCGCTTTTAAGCGAACTCTGTAAACTACGAAGTGTTTTCATTCGCGTACGACGGAGAACTTCTGCAGAAAAGGCCTCAAATTTCAAGCGGCTAATCAGCGATAATTCATTGAGGGTGCCAGCGAATCGTCTCTGTGTTTCGAAGAACTTCCGTTCACGTTCCACACAGGCTTCGAGGTGTGCCGACGCGATCCTGGTCAAATTAGCGCTATTTACAGGCAACCTATTCTTCAACAGTGCCTTAGCAAACCGTGACGGAAAAGAGCCTGATTGGATACATCCTTCAAGAAAGCTAATCCTCGTGCGTTCTACAGCCAGCTTACAACGCAGCGACAACAATGGGTCTAATGCCTTCGTAACGGGAACGGGGAGTCTTCTTTTCAGAAACGTAAAACAGTTGGTCCCCTTCAGCCACTTGATCAAAGCAGAAAGAAGGCACAGTTTGCGATATGTCAACATTTCGATTGTTCTCATCAGTCGCATACACAAGGCATTAGACCGATTGTTGTCGCTGCGTTGTAAGCTGGCTGTAGAACGCACGAGGATTAGCTTTCTTGAAGGATGTATCCAATCAGGCTCTTCCGTCACGGTTTGCTAAGGCACTGTTGAAGAATAGGTTGCCTGTAAATAGCGCTAATTTGACCAGGATCGCGTCGGCACACCTCGAAGCCTGTGTGGAACGTGAACGGAAGTTCTTCGAAACACAGAGACGATTCGCTGGCACCCTCAATGAATTATCGCTGATTAGCCGCTTGAAATTTGAGGCCTTTTCTGCAGAAGTTCTCCGTCGTACGCGAATGAAAACACTTCGTAGCTTACAGGAATCTATTTTGGCGATCGCATACCAACAGCGCACAAATTTCCCATGTCAAAACTCGAATTCTGGAATTCATCCCGTTCAACATGATGCAGTCGGCTTTCTGAAGTTGTATTGTTTTACCTAAGTCAGTAAACACTGAACTTGGATACTGAGGCCTGCAGATTACGAGATATATGCTATGTACACGAACAGGCGATCTAATGTTACTAATGTAGCCAAACTAGCAGTAGCCTACACAATCGAGATTGGCTTTGTTCTACGTGTTTGCGTAAAAACTGTGGTGAATCGACCAAAAACAAATTTCATTTTAGCACTGCTTTCTTTTCCTCATTTGTGCTTCTCCTTCTGGTGATCCTACAGGACTGGTTAATCGTTTGCTCCTTTACCCATAACCTACCGTTGTTCCATTGTTCCATATTAGAGACATCGTTGAAGCATAACGCAGGCACACGTCTGTACACTTAGATGGCCCTGATTATTTCTCACCAGTTCTCTGAGATAAGAGAGATATACAAATTTAAAAGATAAAATTTAAGATTTAGATATCAGTCATGACGGTCCGCTGCCGTCGCCCATGGCTCAGTGGCATAAGTCGCTGACTTGCAAGAGTAAGGTCGTGGGTTCGAATCCGGCAGGAATCGGCAGTTACGCGTTATTGACGAGTCCCAATAGGACGAAACGGCCATCTAGCGCTTTCCTGGAAGTGTGGTGGCTGTCTGCCTGTGTCTAACTGCAACGAACGTACACAAAAATTTATAACTACCAAGTTGGAGGTTCAGCAACAGCCGCCGGCTCATTCTAACAAGGACGATAAACACGAAATCTGACAGCACGTAGAACTCTTAGTGGCGGAACTGGTAGTTCCAACCGACTGCCCACTGAGACCTAAACTGCTTCCAGCTCAGTTCATTGTCTGTATCTTATCACTTCCTAACTGTTGCAAAAGTGCAACCCAACAAATTCCAGATAGATAAGTTGGCTAGCTGCTTCATTTGTCCTAACTAGCTAACACCCGAGACATTAACAAAATCTTCCATTTCCGTCATTGGGACGACTGCTACTCCTTCGTCATAAGATTTTATCAACTTATTCCTCTTGCCATAACTACACAAATGTGACACATACAACTGGTGCATGTGGCCGAAAATAATAGGCAGTATAATGGTGTTTTGCGGTGGGCATTGCCAATGGCAGGAACGCACCGTCCGGTAGGGTCAATGCAGGTCCAATGGGATACGGCAGGCTGCGCCACATTTCCCCTGTATTGTTGCCACTCGTTGGCAGTGATACACACCCGAATGGTCCCATCCATTCTTCCAACTTCCAATAACGACGATCCGAGAATAAGTAAATTCTCCCGTCTCTGCCCCATGTGAATGCCGTGTCTATGCGACGCAGAGTTTCCGGCAGGCCAAGGTATGAGAGCGGCAAACCAGCTGGAGGCACACCGTACTTCAGGCTACCATAAGCGTTCAGTAGCCAAAAGCGTGACCCTGAAGTGAGAAGGGTTAACTGTTTGCATTAGAAATATAGTCATGGCAGCAAGTAGGGAGTTTGAGTTTAAATTCTGTAGCACCTCACCACTGAACAAGTATATCGCTTTATCCGAACGTTCAACTCCCGCGTCAATATGGTCTACATAGGCTGGCAGCGAAGACCAAGCTTGCTGTATACTCAGAGGCCCCCTTCTTTGCGGATTACATGTACCAGAGTTGAAGCTTTGTTCACATTCTGTTATCCATACTTTCTATGAAAAACAGCACGGAGAAGTAGGCACATGCCGGTGAGAACATACACAATATATTAACAACACTAAAACATTATAAGGGCTGCAAACATTGGTAGTCGTTTTGCAATCAGCTGCTAAATGGATGTTATCAACGGTACTTCCACTAAGTACACAAAGCATACATGGTTTGGCACTGGTGACAATCTACGTGCATGTGGATTCGAAGGTACAACAGCTATCTGCATTTTGATCCAACGATTCTAAACACATTAGTGCGATACTAACGCAGTTATTCACGGTTCTGTATGTTCAAGGCAAAATTTAACATATCAGGAGTGATGCACAGGATAGCAACACGTAGTTTGACAAGATGAGAAGAATAGAAAACACAAAATAGTTATTGAATTATCCTGGAATAAATTGCAAGCAATCAGTAGTTCAGAATTGGTTCTCTAACCTACTATTTTGTAGCATTACTCAATTAGATGAAGCTGTAATGCTCTTGCGACAATCGCGATGTTGTGTACTTTTCCACATTTGCTGGTAAGTAATTCCAGTGTAAGTAGATTCTAAGAGAACCATGGAACTCACCACAGAACAAGGAAAAGAGTTATAAATAAATAAATAAATAAAATTTTATTCTCGACAACGCGAGGCACACCTTTACAGGCATGATCATGTTTAGCTAACATAGTGTAATCAAAAATGTACAAAAAGCACATGTTTGGCATAACAGTGCATGTAACTGTATGGGTGTATATACGTATGTAATTGTCTATCAATGTAAGTTGTTTCTGAATGTGCCGCAGCATTATTGACTGGTTGTTACCGTCAGGGATGTGGGAATAGATGATTGATATCGTGGGTTGGATAGCAATTTCCGGATTAATAATTTCAGGTCTTGGCTTCGGCATAGCTTATAAGGAGTTATGGCACTTAATGATTAACTTGGAGGATTACTATGTCAGTATCTGAGATCACCGCGAAATTATCGGTATTCTGAAGTGAATGGATCAATTGGAAGAAGGCGCCGTTTGTATTTTGGACAAGATGACCACACTCTTGCCTTGGTAGCTCTTTTTTAAGGTTGCCCCAAGAGAGAAATGCCTCATTTTCAACAAGAACAACAAGCGGCCCTTCGCAGTGTTCATGATGGAGGGTTCGTACATTATTACCCATTTATAATTTTAGCCAGATTTCTCCGAAGTTATGCACTTTCATATTTTGAACAAATTTCTCTTCAGATCTTGGCATTACCTGCGCAAATTACACTGGGGATTGGATACTTCCTGTGAAGTCAATGATATAAATTCGAAACATTGGCGGGTAGACGACAAATCCACTAGAGTTGTACAGGGTACCTGAACGTACCGACAAATCTAACTGTGATTGTTCTTCCGTGAAGTTATCTTTCCAAGCAGATGATTAGGAAGCCGCTTATCCTCTAGTTACTACGCCTTTGGAGAATAATTGTGTTGCCAATTAAGACGAATAATCTGAAACACTAAGTAGATCATATATATAGAGTTTCCTTAGGCAGACTTCCTAATCACAGGATAAAATCAGATAAGTGGATCGTTGTCTGCGTCGTGAATCTTGTGGAAATTAGGAAAGCAATTGTGGACTTTTGAAATCTATCTCGTCAGTTCGTCCTCGATTATCGCCTTGATAAACTTTGATAGACAGGGCAAAGAGTAATAAATCGATAGTCCAAAGATACACCTAATTTCAGTTAGTCGCAAGATGGCCTGAGTGAATTTGTCTTCACTATTAGTTTGTCTGAGCTCACATCGTCGTTGTTAAGCAGAAGTTGCTCATTCCCAGACACAGAAATAAAGATAAACCATAAAGATAAACCATAAAGTTGTACATAATTGCCGTCTACACCTTCCAACCATGCCGACCCGTAGTCGAAAGGTAACAAGCTTGTCTTGTAATCTGACGGCGTGGGTTCGAGTTTTCATAGGGGGAGGACGACCCCCGCAGTATCTTAACCCACATGCCATCGATGGTGGTAGCGCGGCAGCAAAGCGTCCGTACTGCGTACCGGCGTACTGCTTATGCCTACACCTTCCACAAATCTTTAACACTATTTTCTATACAGAGGTAAAGGACCTTTTAAGCAAACTAATAGAGCTTCGGCTGTGTCAGTCCTCTTTGACGTGGGACCTCATAATGTTAACCGAAACGTGGTTGAGTGAAGTGATCACTGTTGCTGAAGTCGTACTACCATGGATGTGCATACTGCGCAACAATCAACCAAATAGTGGCGGTGGAGTCCTACTCAATTACCATTGTGAGCTATGTCGTGATCTCATCGACGACCTGGATATCCAGATTGTCGACGCGTTTTTGGGCCGTCTTCACCTAAGACGTGGTATCCCCTGTTTACTGTGTGCTATATTGCTTTCCGTCGTCCACTTCAGAAATGGACAATCGACTAGCCTCCACTATGGTAGCACACCTTGCACAGTCACACAGGCACATTCTCCTGGTTAATGTATTCGCTCCTCACCCAATAGATACCCCAACGTTTCTCGATGAAGAATGCTAAATGGAATTGCAGGAGTTGAGTATTGATTTATTATTCGACAACCACGTACTTCACCCACAAGATACAGGATGTGGAACAAACCAAGTATCCAAGAACTTGTGTTCATCAAAGAATAGCTGGTGATCGAACGGGTATCGATAACTGTTCCCTTTGGGCTACAGCGATCATGCAACACTCTTGTTCAGCTAAATCTATTGTGAACAGTCTTGAGCAGTAGAGCCGGCTACCCTCAGCTTAATACCGATTATCGTGTCCTGACCACACTCGGTAATGAAACTGAAAGGGCGTTTTAGCTGAACTACCCCCCGGTACCGCCTGCGGTGATTTTATTCATCAATTCAACAAGTTAGTAACCGGTGCATAGAGGAGCAGGTCGCCGCGCGCGATCAGAGCAAAGCCATTCATGTTCAGCAGGACGCTGAACCGTATGAGCACAAGAGGTTTGCGCTGTGGAAAATACAAGGAGTCACCCGGTGCCGAAACACGAGAATGCTACACCAGTCAGCGAAATCATGGCGTTAAACTAGTATGCGAGGTTAAACTAAAGTACCGACAGGAAGTAGACGAGAAAGTTTCGCCAAATCTAAAGCTGCTTTGCATACATGTTGGCAAACTCCGTAAAGTGCAGCGAAGGATTTCTGCCTTCCACATGCCATGTGGGCCAGCATAAACTGCAGGAGAAGCGGCCAACACAGTAGTTTAGCAGTTCGCACCAAAATTACAGTGCATGAATTCATTGGCTTTGATTTTCAAGCAAGCTTTATCACCGCCAGGACGGATGTATATATCTCGTTTACGATTGCAGATGTTCTAACAGGGCTAATTTCCCTAGGCTTGCATACCTATGGTGGTGGAGATAATTTTTCTCAAAGGAAAGGAAATAAGTTAAAATGGGTTTGTCGGAACCACTCACTGAGTTCTTACAAAGATATCTTGACGAGATGCAGATCCCAACAATGGAGAAACACTGAGTCGCCACACCAGTACACAAAGGGGAAGTCGCGCAGACCCCCCTAAATATCACTTGATAACAATCCTCCTGGTGATCAACATCATGGAAAATACTTCGAACCGATAAAGAATACATGATTTCAGGAAGATCTGAAAACAACCAATAGTTTAGTTTGTGGCCAAGTTTTCGCTTTCGACACAAAGCTTCCTCAGGTTGAGTGAAGCAGTCGAGGATTGGTACAGCACTTATAGCGAAATGGGATGAAAATCGTGACGTAGGTAAAAGGTCAACAGCGTTACAGGTAACCACATCACACAAAATAGTGCATGGGACGGTCATAACTGGTCTGCGTTACAAGATCACACACGTAAGCCCTGTTAACGATGGGTGCAGGGATGATGTGATGTTCATTTTCTGCCTTGGATACGTCTGCCGGCGCTCCTCAGATTGGTCGGGTTAACACAGCTCGCCACACGCTCGAAAGTCCTGCCTCGTCCATTCTGTTCACGCAGATATTCACTTTGCTAATCACAACTGCCTAAGCAGTCAGCCTGTGGGGAGTTGATCACAACCCCTATCTAACGATGTTAACTTTATTCATGGCGATCGCATGCCCTGTAGCTATCGCGTGCATCACTACTGCCGAACTCCTTAATAGAGCCACATATTCCAGATCGTTTCTCGGTGGCCGTGTTATGCGTCTCTTATGTTCTGCTATCCTTGTACGTAGCTCTCTCACAGTTTGGCCGATGTACATGTGTGCGCTGTATTTGCAACTAATTTTGTAGACGCAATTGGTTGTCCTACCTGCAGGAAGTGGGTCTTTCAAGTGTACTAGTGTAGAGCGGAGCGTTTGGCCTTTCTGGCAAATTACGCTCGTGTTTTCTTTAGTTAAGACCCTCCGGATGGTCTCCGTAGTTCTAGCTTTATAAGTAATACCTACCGTCCCAATCCACTTGGTAGTATGCCGTGGTTGAGGATTTAAAATCTGTTGCAATTGGTGTTTCACTAACCTCCTCGGATACCCGCTACCATGCAATTGGTTCATTGCTTCTTTCAGGGCGGCCTTCCTATCTTCTTCCTCAGTGCACAGGGTCTAGGCTCTGTGAAACGGAGATGAGGCGATTTCAGCATATACATGATTTGGGTGACCTGAACGATAGTGGAGTACACCGTCTGTGTCCGTCGGCTTACAATATATCGTTTCTTTTAGAAGACTCCAATTTCTGTGAACTAAGCAGTTAAGGAATGGCAAGGTTCCACTGTCAGGTTCCAATTCCATTGTGACGTTGATATTCTCCGCAAGCAAGTTCAAGCGGTTTAGAAACTCGTCTTTCTTATCCACTTTTCCGATAACAAAAGTGTCATCCACGTAGCGCCGCCAAATTATCGGTGAGCTACAAGAGTCTGTCAGTGCCCTCGTTTCAAAATCTTCCATTTATAAATTTGCCAATACAGGGTATATTGGCGATCTCATGGCAAGTTCTAGTTCCTGAGGGTATAACCTAGATT